TTTGTAAATGTGTGGCTCAGCAGAACCTATGGCTACCTATAGCAACAGGTCGGGGGGATGCCGGGCAGCTGCATCGGAGCCTGCTTGCCAGGAGCCAGCCCCGCCTCAGCGTCCCTGCTGGCGGGCCTGGGAGGGGCTGGGTGGGCGGAGACCTGGCTGTGCTGAGGCTGCTGGCAGAGGTGGGGAATTAGAGCCACTGATCTTTTTGCCTCAGGCTAATTAAAGCTACCTGACTGTAAATAGGGTAAGGGAACTGGTGCTAAACTGATTTATTCCTCTATTTCTGGTCTCCAATTGGACCTGCTAAGCATCGTACTAGTCAAAGGAATAATTTGCTTAATTGCACGAAACCATCCTGAGAGCTGGCTTAGCACATCTGTTCTCCATTACCCACCCCATTCCCCAGGGCAGTGAGGATGAGCTGCTAAGAGCTGACTGTGTACCCCAGCGGAGTGTCACTGAGGCAGGGTCAGCAAACCACAGGCCACAGGCCACCTCTGGCCTTCTACCTGCTTTTGTAGGGCCCATGAGCCAGGAATGGTTTCTATGCTTTTAAATAGATAAAAAATAATTAAATTTTGTGACATGAAAAGTATATGAACTTCAAATTTCAGTGTCCCTAAATTTTATCGGCACATAGCCACACACACTTGTCTGTCTCCTGCTGCTTTCACACAGCAACAGCAGAGTCGGGTCCTGGGGACAGACCTTAGGGCTCACGAAGCCTACGCTATTGACTACCTGGCCCTTAGAGAAAATCTGCAGACGCCTGACCTAGAAGCTGGCTGGGCCAAGGTCGTCCACAACAGCATTCCACAGCGGCTCGGATCCCAAAGTACTTAAAAATTATTTCCATGAACGAGCTTATCTTTACAGTCAAGTCCTTTCAAAGAAATAGCCTCAAGTTTGAGCTTCAAAATTGTGCCAGGTGGAACTCAAATAAGACTCAGCTGAGAATTTAGTAAAGGCCCCTTTAGTTTGGAGGAATTTGCCTAAGAAGATGAAAATAAATTTTCCTCACTACTACTTTTCTCTAAATTCAGCAAGTCAAAGGCTCATTAGGAGCAGGTCACATCCCACGACCACCTGGCGGGGACGCCAGGAGTGGCCCAGTCAGGCTTGTTTCTTCCGAAGTCTCACACTGAGTGGCTTCTAAGCGCGGTCACCAGACTGAGGGATGTCAGCTGGAGAGAAAGCCCCAGGAAGCGTAGGTGTGGTTTCCTGAAAACAAGCAATGTTCCCGAAGATGTTTTTGTTTGGGGGTTCTATCTGGCACCCTGCTGCCCTCCCCTGCTACCCCTCGTGAAGGCAATGGCTAAGACACGGAATAGCCAGCGGCACCCTTCTCCCTAGAGGGCAGGCTGCCGGGAGGGAGGGCGGAGGGCAGGGAGCTCTGTGCATGCCCAAGGGGGTCGGTGCCGCAGGCCTGAGCCACTGGCAAGGACCGAGCAGGGCAGAGCCTTCCCACAGCTCCGCTTCCCCTGCTCAGATTTGCTCATGATTATAAACCACTGTCATTAGTTTGACTACAAACACAAAAAGTCCCTTTATGGGAGTCTCCTTTAAGAAACAGGAGTGACATAGGCTATAATAAATAAAATAAAACGGCACGCATTAAATTCTAGAATTAACATGGCAGCAGAAAACACTGCTGGGATGGGAAGAAACCACTTAGAAGAGATGTTATTCAACTCACCAAACCAAAAAACACAAAGAACAGACTTGGCACCTGCATTTGCTTTTCGGGCAGTGAAACAAAGGAGCATCATTTCACTGAGCTAGAATCTGCCTGGAACTGGTTCGAGACCCAGGTAAGAGAGACATCTGGAGCAGGCCATGTGACCTCTGGGGCCCAGGGCACATGACTGCAGACCCGGCTGAGGCGGCTCTGCTCTGGGCTGTCCACTGCGGGGCGGGGGTGGGCAGGCCGCTCCGCATTTCTGAAATTATGGTGACCTCCAAACCACTGGGTCCGTGGCCCGACAAGCAGGTGCCCTGCTGGGGTCCTTCCCCTCACTCATTCTGGAGGTCCTCGTGGCACACTGACTCCTGGGTCGGCAGGTCTGCTCTGCGTTCAGGGCCTGCTGAGTGACAGGGAGGGTGCGCCCCAACGGAGGCCCTCACAGCGCCTTTCTAATTGAGGCTAGCGTAAAAAAGGTACACTTTTTTTTTGGACTGCCACCCAGAACGTGGACAGAATGAACTGAGGCAAACACAGCATCAGAGAGCAACTCAAGCGGCAGGCTCTGCCCGAAGCCCCGAGGAAGGGTGGATTTCGGCAAGGGCAAACGCCGGCGGGTGGCACTTGAGAACAGACGCGGTGTCTGCTGACGGGCCCTGAGCTGGTGTGCGAAGGGTCTCGCCGGCGCCTCCTGCTTGAAGTGGGACTGCACACGCTGGTCTAGCAAACCGTGGAATCATCCCTGAGGATGCAAAGCTCTTATCATAGAACCTCATTTACTGGGACCTAACTAGGCCTTTTGAGGGCTTGTTTTTCTCACTCTAAAGAAAATGATTTCTCTGAAGTCAGCACGGTGTAAATGGAGGGACAGTGAACAAAAAGTTAGCTATCTGGGCTTCTGGGATGTAAGCAATTTATTTAACCTTTGGGGGGCTTCAGCTTTCTGATTTATAAAGTGAGAGGGTTAGTGAGATACCGATACCAAAAGTTATTGATATTTTCAGCAACACAATTCTGCTTCTAAGACATGCCAATTGGCCAATATCAATCTGTGATCATTCTCCTATCTTGATACACATCCGTGCCAAAGTGAGCTCAGATCACAAATGGTGTTTTATAGTTTTCAGTCTTTCACATAATTAATTTAATCAGGCCATATAAAAATCTGATGGGGTGGGGTCTCAAAAATGCTATAATAGAAACCCTTTCACATGATGTGCTTGAAGAGATGGTTGGTTAGTTATTCTAGGAGCTGCTCAAAGAGGGGAACCATGCAGAAGAGATACATATATAACTAAACATTTGTTTTAACTTACTTTATAGGAATGTACATTAACTGTTTTTTGCAATGTAAATCTTTTCCAGAGTATGCTAATTGGATTTCTACATATTTTTTTTTCTGAATAAACTGCACTCAGAATTCATTGTATATAATTTATCGTTTTTGTTTCTTTCGAAGAAAGCGTGGAGTTAGACACTAAGGCAATCTGGGGATAGAATTCTTGCTGGATTTTTTAGTTCTGCCCTATTCCTTTATTGCTGTCACACCCGAACAGCAGAATTTTTGAAGATTCATCTTCATCAAGTCTTTCCAAATCATTTAGTTTTCACAGAAACAACAGCTTCCTTCTTTGTGCTTTCAGTTGCAAGTTTACCTACTACTCAGATGGACGCGCTAGCGCGTGTGCAGCGCTCCATGGACACAGGCCCTGAGGCCCGCAGAAGGGTGAGGGCACTGGCAGAGCAGACCACGGGGCGCCCAGGCAGCGGGTTCAAGGCGGCAGGTGCAGGGGCCGTCCGGAGCCTGGGGAGGGGGCACAGGGCTGGGGAGACAGAGTCTGACATCACCATCATCCAGTTAGATGTCAAAATCACAAGAGCTGAAGGACTCCATTCAGGAAGGGGGTGTGGGCAGAGGATAAAAGGGGCTGGGCTGGACCCCAAGGAATACCACCTCTCCCAGGGCGGGCCAAGGGGCTGCAGGGCCTTGCTGGAGATGAATGAAGGGAAGCAGAGAACTGGGACGTGGTGAGCTTCCAAGGGCCAAATGCAGGACAGAGCAGGAGGCAGAGCTGAGAGGCATCCTTGGATCTGACCACCAGGCAGAACCTGGTGAGTGAGAATTTGAGCATGTTCGTCCCCCAAATGACCTCACTGAAGGAAGGAAAGGCTCCGTCATCTCCTATGGCTTTAGTCCCTGTCCTACCAGATCTGCTGTCTTCAGGAGCCACTCTGCCTGCTGCCCCCACCGACAGGCTCATGCAGAGAGGTCTGCTCAGGCTGCCCGGCCCAGGCACGGGGAGGGGCCCCCCCTGCTCCCCCGAGCCCAGGCAGAACAGGTACTGATTTCTAGGCCCACAGCGGCAGCTGCTTGCAATTCCTACTGAGAAGCATTTGTGCAAGTTTATCACCAAAGGTTGGATGAAATGAAATCTTCAATTAGAAGCTTCTAAAACAAGGCCTTTGAGACCTCTCCAAGCTGAAAGGCTCAGGAGAGAACCCCTGGCGAGGCTGCGCTCTGCCAGTGGCCTGACGAGCAGCCCCGACAGCCCATGCAGCGGCCCGGCTCATTTTCCCCAGTACCTAGAGCCTCCCCGTGGCAGACGGTGACCGGGGAAGGAGTGAGTTCCCTGGGATTTGGGGAAGAAATAGAAATGAGAAAAATCGCACAGCAGAGAGCACAGGCTCTTCTCTATATGTACTGACAAGTAATGAAGACAGAATTCCTGGATGTTAACAGTCACCGACCGTCGGGCACGGCAACTTGGCCAGGTTTGAGTGGCAGCTGCCTAGGTCCCAGAGGGCATGGCTGGGATTCTCAAAGCAACCAATGCCCATCGCTTCCTTCTACAGCCAGTGTTCCACAGCCTCCCCAGCTCTGTGCTTCTTGAGCTAGTCATCTGGGACTTGCAAACATATAACTCTTTTGGGAAGACAAGGGATAAGGAGAAGTATTTTCTCTTTAAGCCTCACAGTTAGACACTGGTCTACTCCTTCCTTAGACTCGAGGTAGAAACCGAGGCCAGGACCAAACACTGGACACAGCCTTCCCGGGTCAGGCCAGCTGGGAGCCTGGGTCTCAGAGCCACCTGGGCAGGCCCCACCCTTCAACCTGGCTCACGGCGTTGTGCCTCCTGTGCCGGTGGCGCCGGAGCGGGGTGGGAGCCAGGCCCTGCCTGCTCAGGGGACACTGTCTCAGTGCAGTGACTGAGGAAGGGGGCAGAGGGAACAGCCTGAGACTGCCACGCCGGGTCGCATGCACACTGGCTTCAGGCACAGGTCGGCCAGTTGGCTGCACTGAGCAAGGGAGGTGACTGACCTGGTCCAGACGCAGCGCGCCATCCAAAAACCGCTGCTTCCGTAACTCCTTTGCAATTCTGTGGAGATTCAAGACCGCCTGGCGCACCTCCTCGCTGGTGTGCTCTGGGGAGATGGCGGGCAGCTGCTCCTTGGGGATGTCCTCAGTCGGGCTTTCAATCATGCTCTGCGCGTGCTCATAGCTCAGTTTGGTGCAGGAGCGGATGACGGTCCGGCCGAACCATTCACTAAGGATCTGCAGAGGGACAGACAGTGAGGCTCTTCTGACAGGTAGCCCTTCACCCACAGCCTGCACTGACCCTCTGCTCAGAATGGCATTAGATTCCGGCTGGGCACCAAGGCTGGTCTGATGTGGAAGCTGCCGCCTGTGACGCGCTCCGACTATCAGCCGTAGGGTAACAGGCATGGAGGTCTGCGGAAAGTCTCCAAGTGGGAGGCTTGGGGGAAAGGGCCTGTGCAGGCTCTGTCACTAGCCTGGGTGAGTGGTCGTCAGTGCCAAAGCTGGAAGAGGGAAGAAGGGACAGACGCCAAAGACGTGATGGGTGGGGGATCCATGGGCTCGGTGATGGGCCCGATGTGGGGTGAGGGAGTAGGTGGGGCCCCCAACGGAAACTGAGAACAGAGCGGAGGGAGAAAGAGAAAGCCCTTCCAGCTTGTTCTCTTTGGGGCATGTATGCAGAGACAAGGGTCCAGGACAGGGTTTCTCAGCCTCAGCACTAGTGGGCTAATTCTTCACTGTGGGGGCTGCCCTGTGCATTGTGAAATGCTCAGCAGTGTCCTTGTACTCTGCCCGTTAGGTGCCAGGGGCCCTCCCCAACCCCGCAGGGTCAGAAACCAAAACCATCTCCAGACTTGCCAAGCGTGCCCTGGGGTGGCGAGGCCCAGGCTGAGACCCACTGGGCCCGAAGCAGATCAGCGAGTGGTGCTCGCTGAGTGGCAGGATTCCCACTGATTGCTATCTTATCCTTTCAATTTGCCTGCATTTTCTATAATGAACATTTATTACTCTTAAAAGAAAAGATAACATTAAACCATTTGGGGACTCCTGGGTCTGAGGTGCAGGGAGGAGACCTGGGTGGGGCCGCGTGGCAGGCGGCCGGGTTGCGGCCCCAGGGCACTGACTGGTCTGGGGGTGGGGGGTGGTCTCGCGGACTGTGGACCGAAAGGAAGAGGAGGCAAGTGAGAGAGTCAAGGCTGAATTGCCTGCCAACTCCTCCACGTTAGGGAACCGAAAGAAAAGCCAGAGGGTGAAAACAAATGAAAAACAAGAGAACCCGAAGAGACAGGAGGGAAATCAGGAGTGTCTGACGTGAGGGGAAGCAGGAGAAAGGGCCACAGGCAAGGAGCCCTCAGGAGCAGCGACCCCTCAGCTCCCCTGATGAGACAGGCACAGCGCACGCTTCCCACACGGCAGCTGTTGGATCCCACAGCAACTGCACGAAGCGGGCACTTTATTATCCTCATTCTGCAAAAGAGGAAACCAAGGCACAGACACATTGCGTCATCTGCCAGAGAACGAACGGCAAAGCTGGGAACTGACCCTAGCAGTCCGGCCCTGGAGTCTGAGCTCTGAAGCCCCAGAGTATGCCCACTGCCACCTGGATGTCAAAGAGGGTGACAACAAAGGAAAAGTCCCTGTACTTAGCATTTGCTCATTGGTAACCTCTAGGAAGGCTACTTTAGGGGGAAACGTGGCGCAGGACAGGCTGATTTCAGCATGTGCTGTGGACGGATCAGAGACTCTGTCAGAGGGCAGCCGAGCTCTGCCTTCCATCGGCCTCTCTCACCAGCGCCCCCTCTTCCCGTGTGCCATTCAGTAGCGGCATCTTCTGTGTGCGTCCCATGTGAGAAAGTATGTGAAATCTGGGGTGACAGATGGGCGTGCCTAGCTATGCAGGCAACGGGGGGACAACGGGCTCCACAGGGTGGGAGGGCAGGGATGTTGTTCGTAGGGCGAGGGAAGAAGCGGGTACAAAAGGAAGACTGACAACGCAGGAGAATGAATGGGTCCTGGGCCAAAGGACCCAGCAGGTGACCCACCCATGAGAGAGGACAGGGGCGTGGAGGGCAGGCGGGAAAGGCGATCTGGAGGGGAAGAAGAGGGGCGCTGAGAGCACTCCGGTCAGACAGTGCCAACGCGAGAAGTCACGTGTAAGGCACAGAACAATTGGGGCTGAGTGGGAGTCAAGGGCGTGAGGAAATGGAAAAGCTCTGCGATCAGTGCCACGGGCAACGTGATCCCGGAGCCAGGCAAGCCCAGATGTGCCAAGTGGCAGAGAGGGTGGGGCGGAAGGGGGCGCACCAACTTTCAGCCTGGGCCGGCAAACATCCCCCTGCCTCCTCTGCGGTGGCCAAACCATCCTGCTCACAGCCTCCGAGACAATGCTTCCCGAAAGGGTACCTGAAGGATGCACAGGCGTGCCCACTGCGGAAGGGTAGGGCCCGTGCGGAGGGGCCGGCCGTGCCTCTGACGCCCTCGCCTTCCCTTGAAGGAAGAACCAACACTTAAAATGGCAACCAGAACGCCCAGGAAGAGAGTGGTAGCAACTACTTGCATTTTTCTTTGATTCAGTGCAAAGAGCCTTAATTACAGCAGTTTTGGATCTGTAATATCAGACTTTAATTTTTCTTAAAATAAAAATCCCCAAACTGTACTTTCTGGATTACGCCAAGAAGTACTCCTCTCCAAGATACATGCAACCCAAACACAGGGCTCAGGACTCCCCTGCCGGGGCGAGTGCATCCCGCCGGGCCCGCAGGCAGCGTCTGTGCCCCCTGGACACAGCAGACTCCGCAGGGCCGGTTCCTGGCTGCCCAATTCGGGGGGCAGGGGGAGGCGGCACGCACAGGTCTCCTGGGGAGGACCCTTTCAGGGCCAGCCCCGGTGTGCCCTTCTGTCACATCCATGTTTTCCGAAAACGCCCCGTTCATGGGTTGCTCCGACCTCCTCTAAAATGACAGGGCTGTGACCTATTCGTTCTGTGGTCACAAAGATTTTTCCTGGAGATTTGGCCTGCTTCCCTTCCTCCCTTTCATTCCAAACCAAGTTAGTCCTCCTCCCCTCCGCCCCTGCTCCGTGTGCGTGCACACCTGGTGTTAGCACGCTTCGGAAAACTTTCTCTCTCTTCTGTTCCGCCCCTCGACTTCTCGCAGATTCCCTCAGGCATCAAGGTCATGGGATATCTGTTCTCCTGGGGTCTGTGTCCTGTGTCCCTACAGGACACAGGAAACCCCTGCATCCTTACACAGGCAACCACCACACACAGGCCAGAGAGACTTGTGCCATGACTGGGCACCTATCTTCATGTAAACTGTTAGGAATTACTTTAAAAATCTAATGAGAGACATTCATACAGAGAAAAGACTGGTAGTTGCCGGAGGGGACTGGGTGAAAGATGAAGGGATAAAGAAGCACAAACCAGTAGCTACAGAACAGTCACGGGGATGTGAAGTACAGCACAGGGAATATGGCCAATGATGCTGTAATAACTGTGTGGTGCCAGGCGGGCACTGGAAATGCAGGGGGGACCACTTTGTAAGGTATGTGATTGTCTAATCACTATGCTAATGCAATAGAATACTGAAACCAATGCAAAATAACATTGAAAGTAAACTGCAATTGAAAAATAAAATTGAAAAAAATCTAATGAGTGCTCCAAGCCTTTTCCCCTGAAATATTTGTGCACAAAATTTTGCAGTGAGTTCCAGGAGGTTCCTAGACTGCCTGCTACCCTGTGGCCCACCTACCCTGGCTGTAAACAGAGCTCTGTTGCTCCCCCTGGACCCACTGATTGCAGCGCTGAGCCCTGATCAGGAGCCCCTTTTCATCCTGAGCGGTTCTTAAAATTTATTATCTGTAACTTGGCAACCTGGCAAGTCTGCACTCCTTGTTAAAGCTCCCCGACAGCACACGCTGCCTGCGCCGTCTCCACGAGAGCCCCTCCCTCCCGGCCGGCACCCCTGCCCCTTCCGGTGTCCCCGCGCCCGTCAGCCCCCACCCTTGCAGCGCCCCGAGCACCACTGGACCTGAGACTGCAGGGCTGACCGAGAAGTTTCCTGGGAGGCCTGCATCCCAGAAAACCTTCTTTCTGAACGTGCAAAGGGTGGGAGTGGAAGTTCTGAAGAGCCATCAAGAACTTCCTGGCCTTGGGACAGTGGCCTCAGGCAGCAGAACCTATCCTGCTTCAACACAACCCAGTGATTCCGGGAATCGCCCTGACACACAGGCTAAAAGAATTCTTAGGCCAGGAAAACTAGCCTGAAACCACCTTGTGGGGAGGCCGCAGAGAGCAAGGATGCCCCCCACAGCCTCACAGAGGAGGGCAGCAGGGAAAGACAGGCCACGAGTGGGGTTCCCGGGACGGCATGCCTTCAGCCGGGGTGGAAGGCCTTTCTGGAAGGAACACCTCATTAATTTCCAATTTGGAAACTGTATTCACATCAACACCCCGTCCATAACCAGGGCCAGTGGCAGAAGACAAAAGGACAAAGAGTTTTTCATGGAAAAAGTAAAAAAGCCATGAGGCGTTTCATAAACAAAACCCTTCAGAAAGATCATGTCCTTCCGCTTTCCTTTGCTGAGTCACAGGGTCTGGGTCCCTCACTTTGGGCAGGCGGCAGGGTCCCCGCACTCACTCCAGGACGCCACTGCTTACTTGTCTGTCGGACCGCAGACCATGCCGACGTACTGAAGGCGCAGGACTGGGGAAAACCTGGTCCGAAAGGAGCGAGTAATCTGCCTCGTGACCTGTTGTGCACCACGGAGCATGTGGCCCTGTCCCCTACCCCAGCCGCCTTTCACAGTCCCTCTGCACATCTGGGAGGGCTGTGCTCGTCAGCCCGGTTTACAGCCGAGAAAATAGGCTGGGATTTGTGAAAAGTCACATGCACTTCTAAGTGGCAGCCAGCATCAGATCCATGTCTAAAGACTTGAGACTCAAAATCTAAAGGTATTTTTATTATATTTTAGCTAAAAGTTACATAATAGAGATAAACAGTGACGTAATGAAAATGCAGTAAGCCTCATATACTAACTCTCTATATATCATAGATACCAAGTTGTGAGGATACATATCCTTTGAAACTGTTCAATTCTATTTAAATATATTTTAAAATGTATCTTCTTAAAAAATATCAGTGCTTCATTACAAAAAAATCTGATTAAAAAAAAAACTGCTCATGGGATGAATCTGTAATTTTAAATAAGTAGATGCAAAATTACTTCTACAGCATCTC